ACCAAATCAACCCAAACGCCAGCCACGCCCAAATCAATTCCAATACCAAATCAGGCAAACCTAACTAAATTCACACAAAAACTCGACAACAGACCCAAACCACCTGGATCAAGTTCAGCTTACCTATACACAACAAAATACAATTATTCCATCTTAAAACGCAATCTAAACCACGCAAATCCAATAGAATCCATCCACACTGAAACTGAATCCATCTAATTCACAACCGATAAAACTTAACCCAGTCCATCCAAGTGAATCTACACATGTAAACAAGAGAACTCCATAAAGGAAATAGTTACGTTGTCTAAATTAGACCATTAATATGTTGCGCGAGTCTCTTTTAAACAACAATAGCATTCAATTATATCTTTTTCATGCAAACTGGTTGAACAATTGCCTATTCAAATATCGTATAAGTCCTTATAAATATGAAAAACTATCTTATATCCAATTTTATTTATAACCCGATAAGTTACCTAAACCTTGTTTTTTTTAATTATGAAACCAATTAAGTATTAATTAAGTATTATATTTCAACTCATTTACATAAACGCAGAAATAAAAAGATTTTTACTTTAATTTTATATTTATTATAAAAGTTTTGAATGTACTCTATTTTTCTAATTAATCTGTTGTCGATAGATACAGCTGGTTTTGCTAATGCCGGCGTATAAAAACAATACAACGAAGGCCACACTAGTTAATTAAATCTAGAAATCATAGTATTATCTCTATTTATGACCCATATCTACCTTTCCCGTGCCGACGTTGAGCGAGGTTTTTAAAATGACTAATAACTTTGCTGTTATGCCAAAAATAAGATTGATGTTTAACCAAGTGCAATGTTATTAGTTATTATTACTTTCTTTAAAAAGACTTATACGGTTTACTATAATTACAATTTATTAAGTATTTTGACATAACATATAAGTATTTGCTTTCAAATTATTATTATCACACATCCATGTGATTTAATGAAAATTTTAATAATTTAATTTTGTTAAAAGGATAAGTTTCTTTAAAAATGTACCAATTTTAATGGGATTGTTAATTTTTTGGAAGTTTGATATTTTTCACACATTCTATTAAATCTACACCATATAGCATTTTCATAATTCTGTATATATTTCTAAGTATTTATAAATGTTGGCTTATTTCATTTTTCGATAATAATTGGACCTATGATGTTTCAATAATATACCCTTTTGTAAAACATCGTTTTATAAAATTCATTGTGATGCTACATTTAGAAATGGGATTTCTGAAATTCTTAATCAGCACTGAGACATTAAAACAAGAAAATATTAATAGTCCATATTTTATATCCATTACGGTTTTTATGGCTAGGCTCCTAATTTAATTCGGGTATTTATAAAAGTTGTGCATTGTGTATCGTGTTTATGTTCGCGTTACCATTTTTAAACATTTATGGGTTTTATTATGTCTTTTTGATAAGTTTTTATCAGCTAATGTGCTTCTTAATGTTTCGTTTAACATCTTATATTAATTTTTTAATTTAATGACAATTCAGCTGAAGATGAAACTTTTTAAGTTTTGAAACCGGTTCTGAGTAAATAAATTATTTTAGCGAGTCAGAAGTTGTTCATTTTATTAATTTTTTATTAATAATTTTTCAAATTTATAAAAGAAAATGTAAAAATTTTCCAAAGTTATATTCACACAATCTTGATCATGATATTAGTATTCTGTATTTTATACCATATTCTTCTTCATAATTTGCTTTTAAATCATACGCTGGAAATACATGTTTAACGTCGTAGTGACAAAATTCGTTTAGCAAGATAAATTTTATAAACAACTCTCACGGTCCTCTATAATTTATTCTTTTTATCGTTCATAGAAACAATTGTTAAAGGTATAACTCTCTAAATGATTTTTAAAATGATTGAGTTAGCATGCGTATGATAATTATATTAAATCTACTTAATGTGTTATGAAATTTATGATAATATTCCAAAACGAATTAATTTAACGGTACAATCGATAAAATGAGTTTTCTTATTCATATTATATATTTGTACAAATTTAAAAGTGTCTTCTGACTCGTCTTTGAATTGTCTTGAATTACATTATTAGCAGAATTATTCACACAAGTTTAATGCATATCGGTGTCAATTAAAAAGCTATTTATTCTCCACCTTCATATTCTGATTCTTCTACATTACTGTTCTCATAACTACTTCTACAATATGATCATTACTCAAAAATTCGTTACCTAAAAATCGTCATCACCAGTTTATACACCTTCGCGACATCCTGCTGTATAATTTTATAAAAATTGGAAGTTATTAGTTTTTTAAATTTTAATTTCCTAATATTCAATGGTGCTACATTATGATTTTGTAGTTACTAAATAGGAATAAGGTAGTTCTCCATCTGATGTTGTGTTAGCTTCTTTCTCAACTTTTGATTAAGCCTTTTTAATAATTTAATGAATATTGAAGTACGAAGGCTTTCACGGCCGGTGTCGAAGTTGACTTTCGACTTCGAACTTGTTTCTGCAGAAGGTTGCAACATGGCATCCGAAACGTCAAACATTTTTTCAAAAAACGCACGGCTTAACCCGAAAGTTTCTAGTTCTAGGTCTAGTGTTAGTTCTAGTGATAGTGCTATAGACGTTATAGCTGAAATAATATCTATCTCTTTAGTTTCTATCCTTCTTAAAACGCTAAAGCTACTTTACACAGATACTCATCAAGTATCCCCTCTTCGAGCTATCTAGTAACTGTGAATTCATATATATATGTTTAAAACGAAAAGAATTTATTACATTATAATTTAGATATGTATGTATATGTAAGATTTCCCAGATATGACCTTAGTTACATGGTCTTCGTTTCCGCACACTTTTTGCAATGCAGTTATGATGTTTTAACACTATTGATTACTGCAGCAAACAGTTGTGAATAATCTCCTGGTCGGATCATTATTGGAACTGGTAAAGCAATATCAGTTGTCTACTTTTGTAATATGTTCTTCCTTCAATCTTTAAATCCTGCATTAGGTTCTGATTTAAGTATCTTTCCCAACTTTTATAAGAGCTTATTCATTAGGTGACGAGGGATTTAGACCGCTCCATCAAGAGAGACTTTATCCATTTGTTGCCAGCAGATACTATAGCAATCTTAAGATACGATGATCCAGCGTCCCTAAAGAGCTCTTTATTTACTAGTTCAAAGTTACTTCCGTCTTTCTTGGTAGTTTAACGGAGTTTGTCAGAATCTGCCGATCTCAATCTTTTCGCCAAAGACTTCCTTCTGGCAGAGTAATATCAAACTTTTACGAGAATCTAGACTTACTCCGCTGAATAGGCGTGTTCTACAAAGTAAAAAATACATATTTCCTGTCTTTGTACACAAATTATAGTCATAACATCCTTTGATGAGATTTTTGCTTCTGAACAATCAGCCTTCACTCCCCTCTATTAAGTGCTGTCACTCTCCAATTTTGAACGTGCAGCCTCTTTATGTTGTTAATCACGCCATTTGGTCATCTCATTCTACATCTTCTCTTATTTCTTGGTATATCTGCTTATCTCGAAAATATTTTCTTTGCTTTCCTGGTTTCACTAATTCTTAAGATGAGTCCCATCCATGTTATTCTTTGAGCTTTGGTAAACCTAACAATGTTTCCTCTTTCAAGAAGGTTGTTTAATTCTTCATTAGTACGACGTAAGTACGTTTCGGATACGGATAGTTATATACGGATAAAATTAATAGAATAGCTTCTTGAGACAATTTACAAACTAGTGAAGCAATATCAGTTATCTGTCTCTGTGAGGTATCTACATCAAAGTCTTCGGACCTCAATCTTTTGACAAAGTCTCTCTCCTCGCAGAGGAATATCAAACCTTTGCGGTTAGCTAACTGAGCATAATTACTCTGCTGAGCAGAGTCATTCTACTAAACAGAAGTATACATTCGCTACCTTAGTATACCATGATTATTGATACCGCATGGTTGCGAATTTGTGTAAGCCACTCAGTGATTGTAACTCATTATTTCTCAGATATTACATCAGTTTATTCGCATTTTATCTTTAACGCTCTCAATAATAACACGAGATCTGCTAATCAAAGTGTTTCCTGTTTCATCATTCTTATCACGTTCTTATAAATTGCTCTGTTTTTTGACTAACACACTTTAGTTCAATCATACTTTAATTACGAATTATAATCTTAACACTACACAAATAAAAATTTTTAGAATGGATTTAACACTGGAAGAGAATTTTGTTTTGTTAAACTTGAATATGAATTTAAAAATAAAAACGGAAATTATGATTTCCTTGATTTTTTTCTCTTAAAAACCTACAAAATTTTTAAATACACAGATTTCTTTCAATTGGCTTTCATTCAAAAACGGTATTTTCATTACAAACAACTCCAATTCTCGATTTACACTGTATATTTTACGAACGTTTCTTCTTACATTCTAAATAATCTCATCGTTTACAAATTCTGTTTATGTTAACGTGTTTAAATTTACGCGATCTTATTTTATCCAGTTTGATTCTGTTCTGTTTGTTGCCGGTTTTTAGATTGTAACAGTATTAATAAGTTAATGAAGAAAAATGAGTGTTATATATTTTTGTTTTCTTAACAAGAACGCATAGACAATTACAATAATCGTTTCTGATAGTCCAATTACTGCATTTAAATTGTGGTCATTATAATAATTATGTTACCCTATAAAATAATCAAGTTGTTAATAAGAAATTTTTTTTGTGGTGTTTAATTTATATTGTATTTACGGTGAAACCGTAACAATTATTTATGGGACTATTAATATATAAAGATACCAGTTAATCACAATCTTCAAATTACAACCTTTAATGAAGCTTACCTTGAGTAAACACACTCACATTACTCTTTTTTATCAAGATCAAACAGAAAAAATTGCTGATCTGGTTTACAACTTTTCTTTTTATAGAGTATACTTTTAACCTTAACACAACCTAAAACCTTTTTTATTCAGGTCATGGTAGAAGACGAATTCGATCATTACAGTATACCTCTCCCGTTTTTATACGCCTTTAGATAATACTTGTAATACTCAGTCATCGTACTGAAGATAAAAAGAACACAAATAACAAAACTACAAAACTGTAAATATACAAGAATAAGTGTTAAAATTAAGAAGATATCCGTCCTTATCATCGAGATAAAAAAAATGGCTGGAAGAGGAAGTAAAACGCTTGGTTTCGCTGTAAGGAACTACGCGCGTTTATTAGCGTTGCCCAGGTGAGATAAAAAAAATGTTGAAAACATTAACGCACCGGAAATGTCGATGTCACGACCTTGCGTCGTTGTCTGCCCGAGTGTCTTAAAAAGCTAATTTAATCTTGGCGTGTATTCCGATCTTTCAACGTCGGGGTCAAGGTCGTTAGAAGTCTGGACGTTGATGATTGTACATATTTGCTTAAAAAAGAAAAAAATCGTAAACAAATTTAATTTGGATTTTGTTCCAAAGATTAGACAAAGTGTTTTCTAGTAAATATTTTTTTAATACTGGCTTAAACTGATATAAGATGAATTCTAATTAAAAAAATACATTATTTTGGTGTACTTTAGAATTTTAAAGATAAAATCATAATAATATTTTCATGAAAAATAGAACAATTTGTTGTAAAATATCATTAAGAAAAAGTCTTTATCTCCAACATTAATTTTATCCATGATCCATAGTACAATACGTTGTTATTCTGTACTTGGATCGAGCAAAAATCAGTAAAAGAAGACCTCCTCTTGTATATTATTACGTTTCTCTGGGTATTTTTCGTGTTTGTTATTGACAATGAGAGATATTAAAGTGAAGACGACGATTTCTCGAATTAACACATTGGAATGAAGCGGATATTACCGCTTTCGGCTTGTATTCAAGTAATATTTTTCAAAAGAAATGCCTTTGTAGAGAAATCGAGGTGAAATCTTCAACATGATTGAAAAATATTTGTTGTTAATAACAAAAAAATTGTATAGTTTCATTAGAAATATGTCAATTTCTTAAAAAGATCTCTAAAGAAAAGAATCCGATACAAAAGTCCTTTTTTAACAATTAATTAAGTAATAATAACCAAATGAGATAAGAATAACGAAATGTTATTGGCTTATTTAAAAGATAACGAAAATATGTACAGTTTTTATGTATATGTGGCTACTATATAAAGATTTGTTGACCGGCCACTAATTAATACAATCATAAGAAAGGATATCTAAGGACACAATCTGTCATACGAACATGTCAAGGCACACGATACTATTTAAAAAATACAAATCGAAGACTTTGATCCATCTAAATTATTACGAAATTAGTTTCAAAAACATCTAAAACCGAGCTTTTTCACTTCTATTACCTTTTATGTTATGATAATAAAAATAAATGTTATGGTGATATATTTATGCCACAATTTTCTTCTTCTTAATCTACTTCTTCTTAATCATCAATCCAACATAGAATTAGTTGAAAGATAATTATAATTATTACTCGATTACCTTCATGTCACAGTATAAAGTTAGTTAGAACCTACAAAGGACTTCTTGCGTTGTAATGTCTTTAAAAGATTTAGGCAAGAGTGGTTTGGTTTACCTTGGTCCTAATTGGTTGACTATGAGTTGATCCAGAATTGACTATGCTTTCCCTTCAAGTTCTTTCAAACTTTGTTCCTTACTAAGTTTTTTAGGTACTCTCACCATATCTAGACTTAATCACCTACACGAATTGGGAAAAACTGCTGCTGAACCATGATCTGATGCTTGAACAGCACTTATTCCACAACATTTACCTGAAAAAAAGTGTATTTGCGGCTACTAACATCGATTCCCTAGGACACAAAGTAATCCCAAAGGGTATCGTGCCGCTACCGAATACTACTACTAGTAGTATTGTTTACTTTTGTCCACCGTAGATCATAGATGATTATAATCAAACCACGATTTTGGTCAACCAATTTGATATCGTCAGAAGGTTTACAGCTCAGTCGGAGCCATTGTGGACTAGTTTGAACATGGAGTGGTAACATAATTTGAGAATTTTGCTTGTTCATTAGGGATCTTGTCACCATTTATCCATAATATTATTCACTTGCCTAAGAAATTACAATAGAGACTGGCGCATACAATCAACGAATGGACAAAGCTAATTAGAGATTTATTTGATGAGCTTATCTGTCAAGCAAGATTAATTGAAATCCTAAAGAAATGCTCATATCTGTACTGAAATTGATTACCTATTATGTTGTTTAGTTCCTATCGCCTTGTACATGTATTAATTATAATGGTGGCTACAAAGAACCGTAAATATTGTAATCAAGTTTCTATAGCGAAATTTATGAGATAAATTTTTATGTTTACTGTACCGAATCCCCAGACAGAAAAAATATTTATAAGGGACCATCTTAAACCTTTCAACCAGGAATACGAAAGTAATGGGTTGCGCAAAAGCTATAAATAGTGGTTATAAGTGCGGGCTGAGTAACTCCATTATTCATCGTCAAATTTGATGATTATCTAAAAATAATATAGAATCCTCGGCGATTACCTGTTATCTCAAAGTATTTCTGTGATTAATTTCGCTTACGATCGATAGTGTGATACTATCGATAGTATTAAAATATGTCAAACTTTATCTAAATGATTGAAATCGGTGAATCTGTAAATACTACGTCATTTTTCAGTGTGATAGATACGACAGATTGTGAGAAATCCAATGCAGGAGGTGTGAAATTGAATTCATTTTGTATTTTTCTGTTCATACCATCAACTTTGAAAAAGAAATTCAACTTTTGTTTACATATTTCATATTTGTTGTATAAGCAAATGTCACCGGATTCGTTGTTGATTTGATCGCTCACATTATGATGGCTTTAAAAATGAATTAACACGAAAGGTGATAGGTGTAATTGTTTTAATCACGTGTATGTTGATCAATGTGTTATTTTTTTAGTCGATGCGTTATTGGCTTTATTCAGCGTGTATTCTCACGTAGTGGTTGTTTTTCTGACTGGTATTCCTCATCAACCTTAAAGACTATCAAAGAAACGTTGTGACTTCTCAAACAATGAAAGAAACAGGGTTGTATTTTCATGTCGATCTCTATTTTAAATTAGAGATATTAAGGCCCACTTTTACCATCCTCCTGATAAACTACCTAGAGGATAATTACCATAGTTACAGCGGTTTTAAGCGCTCTCATTGGTCAAAAAGCTGAATTTATCTATGGGATAAATTTATCAAGAGGTGGTAAAAGTGAGCCTATATCACATAAATAAACGAAGGCATTAATTGTCTATATGTAATTGCCTCTGCGTATAAGATTTCCTAATGTATTCTCCTTTTCATTTACTGCCATTGAAAAAGGATACAAGGATTCACAAAGGATGCCCGTGCTGGGGATTCGAACTTGGGGTCACCTGTGTCATAAAATAACCAGAAATGATACTGATGTCGGTTCCTTTGATGTTGAAGGAACCGCATGTGTTGACCTCATTTTAAATTCTGCCATCATTAAGAAGGGAACCCAACGATCTGGAGAAGTTGGCTGGTGACTTCTCTCGAGAGAAGCCAGAAGCCAAATTGTTAAAGGAACCAAAGGCACATCAATGACAAGAAGGTGCTCCTTCTAAAACATGGCGTAGCCACACAGACAGAGTTTTGGCGGGATACCCCCAGTGTCCTTTCTGGTTATTCTGTACTTGTATGAAAGCCAATGGTGGCAAATAATTCGATATTTTCTCTTCTGTATATATTGGAAGGAAACTTGATGATCAATATTTTTCTTATTCTTCTCTCAGGCCCACATTTACCAGAGGACTTATTCAGGGGATTCTTATCATATTTACAGTGGTTTTAAGCGGTCTCATTGGTTAAGAGCTAGATTTGTTTGTGGGATAAAATTAAAAGTTGTTGTTAAAAGTGGTCCTTATGCAAATGAATTCCTATTTTACTCTCCAGGATATAACACCTCGCACAAAGAAAACATCTACTATGTATGTCGGAGTACAAATGAATGTACTGGTTTTTCCAGAAAATACAGAGAGACATAATAATATTTCAGCACTTTATAATGAAACATTATTCTGATATAGTAATAACGATTTCCAAATTAGCTTCGCAAGTTTTAGCTAAATTTAGAAATGTTGAATAATTTTCTACACAACTTTATCTAAGATTCAAATTAAGCCACGAATACCAGTCAAGTTTCAATTAATCACATGATTTTATGTCAAATCTATAGCTCAACTCCTTTCATTTGAGATCGTTCAGATAGAATTTAAATGTTTCAAGAAAGTGAGATAATTGATTCACGCAAAGAACTACAAACTGTATTTCTTCAAAAACTTCATGACAATGAAAAATGGCATTTACTTTTAAGATACTACCTTTTTCTGAAATTATGTAATAAAAATGCGAAGTACATTGCAACTTAGTGAGATATATTTTAGCTAAGAGAATGAAAGTAAGACAAGAAGTAAACCTTAACCCTCAAGCAAAAAATTATTTTCATTTACAACCCTATTATGTACGATACAATTAAAATTAAAAGTGCATTCTGACAGTTGTTGATGTTTTTCAAAATTTATTTGATGTTATTCAACGAAATTGATGACGTATAAAGTATTAATTATAAATATGGAAATGAATGAAAATCATTTTGCTAATGAATCTACTAATTAGAAACGTATAGAACAACCGGTTTACTATGTATCAATGATAACAACAGCATAGCCAGAATACATAGACAAATGGTGAGCAGAACACGGTGACAAATCGTAAGACGAGTACGAAATCGGATGACTCAATTATAGGTTATTGTATACACGACAATATTGTATCCTTTCATTTATTATTAATGTCAATGATTCTAAGATAGTTTGGCAAATCAGAACCTATCGCTGCTTCAAGACACATCTGATAATGTAATTCAATAAGTTTTAAAAAGAATTTCCACAAATTCTCACATACTAAAATTTCTTTAAAAACTTAATTCCAAACGTTTCACAAAAACACTCAATTTTTTTATTTGCACATAAAAAAGTGCAAGTTATAATAAGACCGTTCTATCTTCCATATCTTACTTCGCACAACAAACAGATATTGGGATTCTTATACATAATGTATTAGAAGTTACAGAGAGGTTAATGCGTTACTGATTTACATTTGCATAGTGTGTAGTATATATAAACTCGGAAGTATGTACGTGACAATAGTACGAATTTTAGTTTTGTGTTGACTCTCAAAATGAGTGTTCCTAACTTTAGAGATGGCCAAAAGAAAAATTTATTACTTAAAAAAGCTGTATTACAAAGGTATGTCTTAAAACCTGATATCATTTCTAAATACATTTTGTTATTTAATTAAATGCAATTTTATTTTTATTCTTGTTCCACGTAACCTATTATCGATATAAATTTCACAGAGAGATAGTTAATTTTATTATTCGTAGAAATTAAAACTTTTAAAACCGCAAGTTCCGTAATTTTTTGATAATATTCGTATATATAATGAGTAATCTTTATTACAGCGTAGTTAAATATTGTTCAATATTGTTCGATAATGATTTCGTAAGAAACTCCTGTTATAAAATCGTAACGCGACCTATTCATATGTAATTTAATAAGTAATTTTTCTTTTAGAATGGGAAGTTTTAATTCTGCTCCTAAAATACTCAACTCTGATTGTCAAGACGAAGAAGTTCGATTACCTGAAGGTATCAGTCGTCACGAATTGATACAATTTTGCCAAAAACATAAACAACACTATCCACTTTTTAAAAGATCATTTAGAAAAGCTAAGGAACCATACTTTAGTGATTACGGTATTAAATATCGTAAACTAAATTCTTATTCAAAAGGTAAAATATCACTAATTGTAAATGTTTGTTAATATGTAATTTTTGATTATTTTAGGTTGTAGTGATTACATTTCAACTCCATCTACTTTACGAGTATTTCAATGGAACGTTTTGGCACAAGGTTAATCTAATTAATTAAACATTTATAAAATAAATAATTTATAATTAATTTTTTTAATAGCTTTAGGACGCATGAACGATAACTTTGCTCGTTGCCCTGTTCAAGCCCTTGATTGGGAAAGTAGAAAGTATAAAATGGTTGAAGAAATTGTTCAGTATTGTCCAGATGTGATATGCTTACAAGTAATAACTGATTTACTTATTTTTATTCAGCATTTACTGATATAAATTTGGTTTCTTTATAAATAGGAAGTCGATCACTTTAATTATTTAAAATACGTATTGGGAACACAAGGATATTCCGGCACATTTTTTCCTAAACCAGATTCTCCCTGTGTTTACATCGATGGAAACAATGGACCGGATGGTTGCGCAATATTCTATCGAACTGATAAATTTGATTTGTTACAATTCGAATATAAGGTGTTGGAAATATGGAAGGTGCAAAGCAATCAGGTAACTTTTTTTATTTTATTACCCTCCTATTTATTTATAAATATTAATACAAAATAAAAAAGGGTTAAAAAAATATATATCAAGAATAATCATCGTAACCAAATTATTCATTCAAAATTAAAATGCGATATCATATTTTTGTATTTCTTTTTCTTACATAAACTTCAAATGCCAAGTATTGTCCAAAGTTCAGAGATAAGTTTTTTATTGTAGACTGAATTAAGGCTGGCCGGGTTATTTGTTATTCATAAGAATTATTTTTAGAATTTAATTTTGAATTATTTAATCTTTAGACTATTGAAGATCAATTACGAATTGTTAAAACAATATTTTGAAACAAACACTTTGAAGATAACTATTTAAATGGAAATTTCATAAAAATATATCAAAAAATATAAGTGAATTATAACAAATAGTTTAATATTAATCTGACTTTTAATCACTATCAGTTCGGTGTATTTTGTAATGTATGATAAAATTTGAAATTTATTTTTAAACCTATAATGTTATAATACGAAATTAAATCAAAATAGCAAAACGTAATAAGAATAGAAGGAACATTTGTTAATAAGAGTTGTACATGACTTATTAAGTTTGTTTGCTTAAATGTTGTAAAATAAGGTTTGTCTAAAGAAGAATCTGTGTCAGTGAAACTGTCCTGGTAGCTCGAGCTTGAACTTTACTCGTTTCAATGATGAAATAAAGAGAAAAAAATAGATGATGCTTACATCTGCTTCGTTCATATAACGAAGGCCTTTGATACAGTACGCCTAGACATTCTGAGATTATTGATTGAGAAAGGAACGACATCCAATTTTATACAAGTAATACAAAACATGTAACAAGTAACATGACAAAGATTAAATCAGGCAAGCATACGACTGCTAATATTCTGACACAAGGTGGAATATTACTGTTAATTGACTTAAGAATAATGGACAAAATTTCACAGGAGGTGTTGTTGAATTTGGGCTTTAAAATGAGCAATGATAAAGTCAGCATGTAGTACATACGCAGACGTTGATGCGATTACTGCAGAAATTAAAGATGATCTATATTCATCTATATTCATCGATAAAACAAAAGTTATGACAAACAAGATGCAAGCTTGTGGAAGAAAACAAGCTCATGGAACAAGTCAGTCAATTTAAATATATTGGACTGAGTATCTTGAGCAGTCATGAGAGAGGAAAAACTTTAAGAATCCAGTTCAATATAGCGACATCTCTATTACGATGCTTATAGTGATGGTTTGATCAAATCAATACATGCTAATAGCAGTAAAATAAGAATTTATAGAAGAATAGAGATACTAAGAGTATGTTGTGTGTTGCCGAATTGAAAACGTTTTGAACAATCCTGGGAAAGACAAGAAAGACTAAAAATGAAATCTAGACATCAGGGAACGATGTGATATACTAGATATGGTAAGGTGGGGGAGATAGAGAAGAAAATGATAAAACGATCATGTGATGAGGATGAATGAAAGCAGATTACCGCGTAAAGTATTAGAGGGAAAGTATTACCCAGCAGGCACTGAAACAACTCAAAGAATACCCAAATGATGGAAGGACACCTGCAAGTCCACATCTGAAGACAGTTCGGCTATGAATTCAGAATTAAACAGATCAATAAAGGTCTAAATCAAGTAGAAGAAGAAGAGATTCCAGAAACTCTGCTCTTCCTTGCTTTTCCTAGCAATTCTGTCTCTGTTATAATTGAATAAAAGTTCTGAATACAAAATGCAAATATTATCCAGACAAATCCAATATTGCCTGTATTAGATCATACAACTGAATAGATTTTGTGAACTTAAATATTATAGAAGTTATTAGCAGGTTAAGTTTTGACTAACTGCGTAAAATATACTTTATTTATAAATGGAGTGATTATGAGGTCATTGCAACTCATTTCCGTAGCCAACAACTTTTATCTTTCTATTGAAAAGATAAAATATTGGATATGCACGAATTGCACTTTTGTTAAAAAAACTGAAGCGATAAGACACTACATACATTGAATATTGAATACATTGAAAACCAAAAAGCAAAATGAAATGATTACTCATAAACTCGTGAAAAATTAAAAAGTATTATCGATGAAGACAAGATTTTATGCAAAAATTGACTCATCTGCTTTAACCCCTTAAAAATCTTAGATGAAAGTAAAACCACTTCTTCAACTTGATTAGTTCGGTTTCGAAATTTTTAAGAAAAACTGTTGTTTTGTATTTCTTACTGGTCACTCTACTTTAGGAGCATCGGAACAAAACCTATATAAAAAATGTTGTTAAATACCTCATAAGAAAGAAAAATAAATAATTTTATGGTTATTTAACTAATAAGAAAATTAAATCGGTTAATGACCCCTTCCTGGGTTGATTTTCGTTTGTTCTCTTTTTACAGCATATTGAATTGTTGCTCACAAAACATCTGGCCCCAAATTTTCAATTTCTTCTTCTTATGGTTTTCAAAACTTGTAAAATTTGGGATTTGTTGCGGTAAACGCAATATTTAAAAGAACCCAAAAGGAAGAAATCTAATTTGGTCTTTCTAAATGTGTATGGTTGCCCAAGCTGTGTGATTGGTTGCTCCGTCCTGTTGAAACCTAAATTGCTCGAGACCCAATTCAACAACTTGCAGCAAATAAACAAAGCCGTTTAACATCTGTGTGTAGTGCTTGCAAGTTGAAGTTTTTCATAAAAACTACGGACAATCACTGCAAATACCGCATCAAGCAATCGGAGCAATGTCTCTTCGTGCATTTCATGTAGATTTGTCGGAAAGAGGTTTTGTTGCTTATTATAATTTTAGACATGAAATCATCGTCTTCTTGCATCAGCTTAATAGAGCATGAAAGTAACTTAGTATGACAGTCAGCAGGTCACAATTATTTGGCCTTTCTACGGAAAATGTATTTGCTGATATCGAATTGAGTGCATGGTTGTCTGTTGTCTTGTGGATGTTTGTGGACTCTCTCGGACGTTCTCGGTCACAGCTGCGATCTTCTCGGCCAAACGAGCATTACGAGACCAGCCACTTCTTGCGACATTTCTAATCTATTCCTCTAGCATAAATTGTTATTTACTGTAATCAACTCAAAATTATTTAAATAAAATAACAACTCTTGTTTACAGTTTGCAAGAAACAATTGAAATTGTATTAATTTATAGAACCGAAATTGATATGCTCGACGAACTGTCGTAACATTTAAGGAACTGCATGCGTATAAGAAGACATCGCGTAGATATGTCCTAAATTTGATTAAGTATTTGGACCATTGTTTATCATTGGATATCCAAATGGCGTTTGTATTTACAGATTTTAAGGATTTTTGCAAGAAATAAAATACTAAACTATTAATCCCCATTGATATCATTTCTACACCCAGCCAGTTGAATGGTTTATTGGTCAGTAGGTTGGATTTCCAATTTCTATTTTCCAAATCGAGATCGTCGCGTGAAAGGTTATGACGTAAGTTGTTTCGCTTTGGACATTCTAATATTCGTTTCAGTGTTTAATGCCACTTAGTAATATATTTAAACTGTTGAACTAATCAATAAAAGGTTCTGATTCTTTTCTCTGAATAACTCGATATTCCTCCACCTTTTCAACATATATTTTGGCTACTTGCCAATAATAATACTTAATGAATCATCTATTTCCAAATGGAAATGTAGCTGCTTTCGGGTAAATAGTCAAACTACCAGTTTTCACTAGCATTCTGAGTGTGGCCTGTCAAATATCTGTTTAGTAAATTGTCTTCAAAAGATCTTCCTAAACTCCCAATCCATGTTTTTATCCATTTGGATGAAATGATAGAGGATGCATTATTAAGTGATTCGATTCAGGTGATTTATCGAATATCGCGCTGCAGGAAATGTACCGGCAGTACTGATATTTAACTACATATTTAGTGTCTCTCTGTCCAAAATTTCGGTTTAAATTGAAAAAAGTTGCCTGAAACTATAAATGTTTAAGAGTTTTTCCGAAATAACTGCTTAAAGCGATATACTTCCTGTCTTATACATTACTGTAAACGATTATATGGTTTTCTGCTGTCACGATTGATTTGATGGTTTAGCAATTACCAAACTTTATCTAGGATTCTCCCTGTGCAAATAGTGTTGTCTCAATTATCTTTTCTGCTGTCCATTAATAGTGCACTCTAACATTCTCTTGACTATGAACACCTCAGATAAGGTATGTTAAGTCACAAACTTGAAACTGTTAAGGAGAGAGATTTGAAAGTGGATTTAACCCATTAGCTGCCACGATCCCCATTTGGGGATTATAAATTTTAACGTACTTCACATGGCAAATTACAATTCAAAGAAAAAAGTTGGCAGTTAATGGGTTAATGTTTAAACAAATACATATGGTGGAGATAACTCATTTCGCAAAAAATGTGACTTAATACACCTTACCTCTGAGGTGCTGATATGATACAACTAGCACAGATATCTTTGGAGGTTCCATAAAAAGTCAGAAGAAAATTTCAATTAATGATAGTGTGAAATATGTTTAAAATAGGTGAAGATCACTCTGTTCCACTACATTATTAGAGCAAATAAATGTAAAATAACACATATTTAATTAACATTACAATCGCAATATATATTTATTATAATCAACTCTTTGTTCTTCAATTGACATTGATAAACGAATGATTTTAGACTATATTTTCTTCAGACGTAATCGTGCGTAATACTAAAAATAAAATAAATCTAATTATAACCGGTTACCATCAACGGTCAGTGATTCTTCTTATCATATTGTTGTTTACCCCCAACGTGTCTAAATATAAAATTGTTCAGAACCGTTATAAATTTATAATCAATTAAATTTATGTTTTTAGGTGGCTCTCTTAGTAATACTAAAACTACGCGGGACCGATCAGGAAATATGCATAACAACAACTCATTTAAAAGCTCGAACCGGAGTTTTTCTTTCGACATTCAGAAACGAACAAGGAAAAGATTTAATAGATTTTGTTTCGAGTCATTGCGGAAATAGACCGGTGGTTCTCTGCGGCGATTTTAACGCAGAACCCAGTGAACCAGTTTATTCAACGGTTACGAATAATTCCTTCTTGGATTTATCGAGTGCTTACGCCGATTGTCAACCACCGGATGTTTCTCCTTGTGAACCACCGTATACAACCTGGAAAATAAGAGACGAGGGAGAAATTTGTCACACCATCGATTATATTTTTTATAGTAGAAAAAAATTAGAAGTCGATGCCGTGTTAGAATTACCTTCCGGTGAAGATATTGGTGAAGATCGTGTGCCTTCATTTTGTTATCCTTCCGATCATTTCTCGTTATGTACCGATTTTAAATTATTATGTTAAGTCAGTTGATATCTGATTGAATCTCATTAACTTTTCGAAATCTATTAAACTCTCACAATTGTACGGTAGTACTTAAAGTAAAATGACAATTAGTTTTTGTAAGGAAAATATACGAAACGTAATTACGTAAATTTTATACTTATACAGCATTTAATTTTACGTTAAGTTTCCTCTGTAATCGGTATGAAGCGCGATTTCTACTTACGTTACCATTGTATATAAGGTTTTAATGATATGGATTTTTTGTGATATTTATTTCGTAATATCTTTTATATACATAATATTTTTTGAGGTGATTGACTTAAACATTTATTTGTTAATAAATATAGTTGTTTTAACACAACATTTTGTTTTATTTCGTTTTTGAGTTTATTCACTCTTTGTTCCCTTTGCATCAGAGTGGAAAAGTAAAATATAGAGAACATAATTACTTAAGTTACGGTAAGTACTTAAGAATTGTTATGTTACGCCCTCTCGTTAACCATTTTATGTCCTACAATAGTTGTCGGTCAGTTTATCGCTTGAGAAAAACGTCCTTGGGTAATATTAATAAAAAAATGACATAAAAGTATGTATACTATATACTAGTTTAATGTGGGGGTGAATTTCTTCACAGCACTTAGGCCACAGCAGGCTCCTTGTACATCTCCACAATTTACAGTTCATTTAAGGATCAGAACACCATCCCAAGGTTTTAATGAACGTTAATATAGAACAGAAGGGTATGTTCTTTATGTCCGAAGTTTTGGGCTATGGCAAGCCAAAAATGGATTACTTTAAGTACACGAGATTAGAACAGTCACAAACAATATGCTTTCCGTCTCGTTTTCCATTTCACACCCTCTACAAAGGAATGTATTCTCGCCAGCTTTATATAGAACATGTGCTTACGTAGCCTGCAGTTTCCGGTCAAGAAGTGAGATTTTTCCAGGAACTGAGCAGAGTTTTCTTTGCAAAGACACTGCAGTCTCATCCCATCTATCACAAAAAACTTGATGAGAGATGGAATTGGTCAGCTTTGATGCTATATTAAATGTTAGCGCTACAAACGACTCAGGAGAAACCGGGAAACTTTTTAGCAGCCCGTTTCACCAACCGTTCCTTATTTCCGGTATGTCCTTTCCGCCACTTTATCGTGGCATTGTTATAAACATTCGCCTTTTCAATGACTAAAGATTTAAGTTGTTACGGTTCGAAAAATCGATAAACTATGTAAAAATAGAAGGATTTGTAGCATTTTCGGATCCTAAAATTGTTTAATTTTTGCAACAATTAATATTAAAATTCAAAATCCCCTCTATAAAACCTGTGGTGACGTTTACGAACTTTTCGCGTAAGATTAAGAAGACACAAACGTGCATTGTTCGGATCTCTTCTTCTAGCGCATAAGATTCTCGTGGCATCTCTCTCATACACCTTTCATTGCTTTTTATTTCAACCAACCGCGTGCGAAACGACGGTGACGTCTCCAAAATTTTTCCCATTTTCATTATTTTTTTTTGAGGGAACTAAAGCCCAGTTTGAAAAATAAAAAAATATACGTCTTCAATTTTCTTGAACTATCGAAAAAGCCAATAAAAAAAATATGTAACGGCCCCATTGTTGGTTATATCAGTTATGTGTTATTGTTAAACACGTCTAATTTCGACCGCTACCAGTAATTGACCATCTGCAACTATAAACTAAAAAATAAAATAGTAGTAAAATTTCCTCTTTTAAAATTTGTGTCAATAATAACGTCTGTCACCCAAATTACAAGTAATTGCGTAAATAGTGATGGTAGTACTGCCCTGATTTGTCAGCGGAGAAAAGTGCATACCGAGTTGAAGGTTTGAGTTAAGACTTTCATAAATAAGCATAGAAAAGTATTGTAATCGTGTTTTATTAGAATCTGGACAAAGACGCAATTTTAAATAGAACAGTTTTACTATTTCTTTAAATGAAGTTGTTAAAAACATATTACATGTTTTTATTTTCGAGTGGTTGATCATAGGCTTTACAATTATTATAACCTTCCATTAGTCAACCACAGTGGACGACTTCTGTACGAAACGTTTTCTTAGTAGTCGACCGCTTCTTAAAATATGTAAAAATTGCTTAAAAAAGAAATATTTAAAATCATAAACAGCTTTAAGAAGATTGTTCTCTCTAGTCAAATCTAGTCGATTCAGAGTAAACACCAAAAAAAGAGTGTTCCCAAGAGTGATATTCAGAAACATCATTAACAGATGTTATTAACGCAATTCATAATGGTTGGGAATAAGAGAAGCTTCTCGAAATTTTCAGATTCCTAAAACTAACCTGATATACAGGCTTGAAGGCAGAATAAAAATGGGGCCTTTGATTATGGGGCTACCTACCTCAGTCAAGAAGAGGAAAAAATTATCTTTGTGGCTAAAGCATTTATCCATGACAGGATTCCCCTTGAAGAAGGAAGAATTGTTCAAATCGGTCACATTGCAATACCTACAAAACACGAACACCCTTCAAAGGCGGCAACCTTGGGGGCAAGTGGTTTAAAGCATTATGTAGACGACAAAATATTGTCTTTCGGGAGCCCAAAGCTTTGTCAAATCACGCACAATAATTATAGAGGAAGCAATACAAAAATGGTTCAGAGAATTGAGTCACTTCTACTTACATTCGTCTACTTTGCCAGAAAGTATTAGAAACGTGGTCTTTTGCTGCTAGACCCGACAGATTGGCCGTAGATTTTATAAAATGCGGTTAGAATCGTTTAGAAAACACAACATTGAAAGCCATCGGTTCGATTACCATGGAAGATGTAAATATGACAAAAAAGGGTCTTTCTCATTTTAAAGCGAGATTGAAACCGAAAAATATCGATGCAGATAAAATAAGTACTGTCTTAAACGATTTGTAAGAATCACAAATTCCCAGGACCTCAAATCTAGTGACAGTGAAAACATATGCTATACAGACTGATGAAGCATTAATAATATTCATAGGATATAGTTACCAAGAAATAGAATTTAGGAATTATAAGTGTTCGTTCTGCTCCTAATTTTGTCACTACTTTGTAAATTTTTTTAAGTTGATTTGTTATGTTTATAGTTTTTGATTTAATAAATGAGCATATGTTCTTGTCAAGACCAAATAAAAAATTAAAACATGAATATTTAATTAATTTTTATAAATAAATTTACTGAAAAAATATTACGACACTGATTGTGAGAGAAATGGATCGTACTATGCACTAAAAATATACTATAAGGTATAATAAGTTTACTACGAATAGTGACAACGAGACGAGATTGTATTCAGTACAATAAATATAATGAATATAATACAATGAATTGCTGCATGTATAATATTTTTTCTATAATACGATTCGTACAATCTATTTCTCTCAGTGAAGTTATAAAAAATAAACTGACTACAGGCTGAAGAAATGCTGGTTGACCACTGGACTTATACTGTTCGACTCAAGGGAGGAAATGGTCGACTACTGGCGCATTCAGTACTTTTGAACCTTTTTTTAGGATAATTTTACTTTTATTTTGTTATAGCATGATTTCCAAAAGGAAATGTTCTACCTAACATAATTTAAAAGGATCAGTTTATTGTATCTTTAGTTCTATTTTTATTGGGATTTTGAAATATGTCTTAAGTGGTCGAGCACTGGCGTGTTTACCCTATGTGTTTAATGTTTTAATCACAGAACAGATATATAGATAGGTTTTAATTTTATTTTGGGTGGATGTTTTATTTTGATGCCAAGTATTTTAAGTTGCATAACATTCGCGTTGTTTTATTTTTCTTTACACTTTGATGATTTCTGTAGTGAATTTCTCCTAATTAAAATTTTTGGAATTCATCTGCGTGTGGTGCAATTTATTGATAACGTTTTTATACCAATTTTCGGATTGATTAATTTCTAAATTTTTCTGACTAAACCTCGAAAATCTGAGGTAAGATATTTTTTTAACTGAAATATGAAGTTTTTTTCTTGAAGTTAATAGTTTTCGCGTAAAAAAATATAATATTGTGCCATGTACCGCTATGTGCCGCGATGTTTAGCTAAAATTATTCTAAAAGTTAGGTCTGAGTTTTATTTACGTTGAATCCTCATAATTGTTGGTGATTATTAATAATTTTTTACTGTTATGAAGCAAGAGTATCAATTTTTTAATATTGTTTATTATTGTTTAAAAGAACTTAATTAGTTCAGACAGACATTTACGTTATTTATTTTTGTTATGAAAATCACAATTAACTTGTGTTATTTTGTCAGTACTAGATCCTAGTAAGTGCACACCTTCTTACGCGAAAACTATTATCTTTAAGAAAAAAACTAGAAAGACAAAAAAGAACCATTAAAGAATGAGCTTTACAACCCATACTTTTTTATGTTAATATTCCATCGCGTTAAAAAGTTCTTATAAAGAAATCAAATGGGTTGTGAATTTTATCCCCCTAAAGGACGCTAGGGGAAGCTTTAGGTATGCTTGAAAATAAGGTGTTAACTAGTAGTAAATACGTATAAAATTTCAAATTCTACGGTTTACTTATAACCGAAATAAAAAATAAAATGTAAAAGCTCGAAAACAAGAGAGCTGCGACCTTATGTTTATATAAAAAACTTGTATTATTTTGACACGTACTACATCCTAGTAAAGTTTTCCGATTAAAAACTGAACCACCCTGTATACATCTTTTCATTACACATTCATAACATCATTTCATTCATTCATTTTCATCAATGTATTCATGCATACATTCTTTTACCACCAAATTAATTAAACTGTCATCATCATTCACATCCTATCTTCCTTCCCTTCCACTCTTTTGTTTTTCTAATTTCCTTTGTGTTCATTTAAGGTTTTATTTGAGGACCATATATTTTGGCAACCAATCTTTGCTATACTGAAACACAAGATTGATTATTTTCAAAGTTCTAACTTTTCAGAGGAGTTCGGAGGAGCGCCGATAATGAAAGTACTGAACTTTGGAAACACACGAAAATTACAACTTTTTTAAAAGATTTCTGTGCTGACAACATCAATAATGCTGGCGAAAGCGGACGACACCATATCGAGCTACACCAGACAGATCCGTGTGTTATTCGCATATTGCACTGTTTGGATACAAAAAGTCACCGGATTACTATTTTAAGCTGCGCCAATATAAAAACCAGCTTTGAAGGTACGCATGTGTCTATTAAAATTTTAATTCATCTACTTAACATTATAATACCTATTTAATTTTTTGTATAGGTTACATATTACAGTCGATTCCGTTTAATTGAGACGTGTTCGCTTAGATTAAAACGAAATAT